CCCTTCTCACCTTAACTCTCCTTCTCACACAATCTTTTGCCTATATATGTATATAAGCGAAGGATCGTGTGAGAAGGGTAGTTTAATCTCATGCCCACCCATAAATTGAGCTTTTGAAGGAATTTTTCGGTGCACTTTATTAGTGTTGACATTCAATTAGGATTAATCCAAGGTGGACAATTAGCTTGAGCAACGGGTGTTGTAGCGAAACTGATTGTGTCTCGCTTGATTATTAGTTACTGAGGGGTTAGAAATATATCTTCGCTTGAGTTGGAGATCTCTTCTTATACTTCTAACTATAACTGCCCTTTTCACCGGAAACCAACCCTATGTGTATATATGCAGGAGGTGAAGATATATACCTTGTTATATTGGATTTTACTCATGTCCAAGGTGGTTTGAGGAAGGGCAGGGAACCTTTGTCTCAAGCAAAGCAAGAGGCTTTCGGCTCTATCCGCTAACGTTTCCCTTTTATCAAGATCGGCTACCAAATCCTTAACCTTGTCCCATGATGACCTTGAAAAGGACCGACTCACCACATTTACGGGTTTCACATTGTTTTTTCCTCGCCATATGTAGATCGAGGCCTCCACACGGTTTGCAATCTCAAGAGCTTGATGCTCRGAGGATAGGTCGAGGCAATCCAAGAGACACTCGGGTGAAAATTGATCCGACGAAATATACCGATGAATAAGATCACCTAAGCTCCCTTTCGCATTCTGCAAAAAAAAAAACGAATATCAACAAACAAAATAAGTTTTCGAAAAGGGCATCATTGAATTTGAAATTGTTCCATCCGTCCCAAAATAAATGTTTACAATGAAAAAGGGAAACATATATGGTAATTATTGCACTTTTTAATTAACTAAATGACAATTTTACCCCAAAGTTCTGTTCAGGAAGTTTAAGAAAAACTAAGAATCATTCCGATGATACCTTTGGAAGTGCTTCCAAGAACGACTCAGGAACCTCCATATCGGCTAAAGTAATGCTGTTGATAGCCATTGCAGCYTTTAGTATTTGATTTGTGGAATCGCGTTTGTTTTGCAAATGTTTTCTTGCGTTCTCGCTGAGACCACCAGCTGGGACTCGAGGAACAGGCAGCCACCATTTTTCTTTTTGGCGTGGGAGAACTTTACCGAAAGACGATGAACCATCTGTTTCCAGAGCTTGAATGCCTTGATCCACATACCAAAACTCCATTTTTTCAAAACTGTCCAATATCTCCTGTAACAAACACAAATTTGCTTCCTTACAAATTCAAAGTTGATATAATTTGATTAAAATCAGATGAAAATGAAGTAAAGAATATGATCACACATGTAAAAGGAAAAGTTTAAAATCCGAAAAGATTAGTGACCAAGATTAGGGGAGTATAATCTATATGTAATCAACGAAAAAAGAAGGGTTTAAGAATCTCACGAGAAGCATGTTGTCTAATTTACGAAGAGCCGGAAGATTGACATACAGATCAGATCGTGGTCTACTCGTCATGACCTAAAATCATATCACACAAAAACCAAAAGATAATCAAGTGAGCCAAGCATTTCTTGCAGAAAAAAGATGCAAAATTTAGCAACATTTGGAACATGAATTCAAAAAACAACAATTTTACCTCAAGTTTGCTTCCATCCGGATAAGTTTGCCAAGACGGTATCAACTCCACGATGTAATCACTAACACAAAGAAGCCATTCCATTTCTCTTCGCCACATCAATTTCTTTTCAGCGCGTAGAGGTTCTAACCTCCATATTTGTCCAAAAAGTGTGGCTGARATTTCAAGAAAATCGAAAAGAAACCAACCATCATCAAAAGTGCTGTCATTGGTAACCAAATTTGCGATCATCTTTTGACCTGATTAATTCATTTTATTGGCTTACCACAAAGATTTGTAATGGCATTCGAGATAGCCAAAGCTGTGCAAACACCATTCCCACAACCAGACATATCTTCTCCAAGCAACAATTTTGAGAATCTTTCTTTCATCATGTCAATCTCTATCGAAAACCCCAAATCAAAAACCCACATAGAAAACGTCAAACAGRGAGATATTAACAATTGCTAGCAAAMATAGAGCTAAAACCCATATCAAAGATAAACAAGAATCATCAAACAAAGAGAAATCGGCAGCCACATCTATCAGACAGATGGTTTAAACCCCAAATCAAAGCTAAACATTACATCAAACACTTGATAGACATTAACTTGTTGCATATCAAATAATAGAAACCTAAATTGAAATATGAACACCAAAAGAGATCACTGTGATCATTTGGCAGAGACTACCTGAAGGAGCTGTTGGCTCTTGTTTCTCTAACTTTTTTTGACCCAAAAGGGGTTTCTGCGAATCTTCAGAATCGCCACAATGTGGGGCCTCATTCTCGTTCTTCTCCGTCACCACATCCATGGAAGAAGGAGAAGACGAGTCGTCAAAACTAGTAATGTGTTCTTCATTCAAAACAGTATCAAACAACGCCATGAAATCAGAGCTTGAGCTACTGTTTCCACCAAATTCTTCTTCTTCTTCACATGTATCTAAACAACCCCTAATTTCTTTTTTCTTACACTCCTCTGATTTCTTCCCACAATCGACAACGATACAAGGTGAATCATCATCATAAGCAGAGTTATTCACCACCATACCAAACCCCTGCAATGCAAGATCCATTTTCTTCAAAAACTAACCGYTCCCTAGCAATCAATTCTGCAAATTAAACAACAGTTCTTTAATGGGTTTGTTTGATCTTGTCTCCTTCTTATCGGTTGTTGGAGCTTCATCTCATCGATTGGGTGGGTTTCTGTTATATACGAAGAATTAATCAAAGAGGGTTTCTTTGTGTTTGCTTGAAGAAGGCGCCTCTTGTTTGGGTTCGCTCTCGTTGCATAATTATGTGTGATGATTTCAAATTTTGCTCTCAAAGTAATCTTAAAAGGGAGCGTGTTATGGATCTCAATACGCTTAATTATGATTCTTCCTTCCTCATTAACCAAAATGACCAAATTGCCCTTTACCYTGTCTTTTCTGTTCCGTTTCAAAACAAGTACGACAATTAATTTTCAACGAACTCAATAAATTCGAGAYAGCGTTTTCACAATTTCAACGAAAATGAGAGCACAAGGTCCTCGTTCACAATAATTAATAACATCCGTTATCCGTATAACGGTATATGAAAATGTTTTCATCAAAAACAACCGTGATTACGTCTCTTATAAAGGGGTAGTTTAGTAATTTCGTATTAAAACAAGGTTGGGTAGTGATATATTTAATAGAGGGTAGTTTAGTAATTTCACATCCAAACAAGGTTTTGTCTTACTATTCCTATGCATGCCATGGGCACAACATGATGATGCCAAGACTATTTGTCTCCTCATGGCATGTAATCACAAGAATGAGAATCAATTCAACAAAATTCATTTTTTAAATAATTTAATTAAATTCTTATTTAATAAATCATATTATTATCTTATTTTAATTACATTGTATCAAATTCAAGTCATGGTCAATGTTTTGCAAAGGATCCATTTTGGTTTTTATATTTTAAATAAATATTATTTTTGAAAGTAAATAAAAAGAATAAATCATTAATCATGTTTAATTTGAGTGGTAGGAAGGAACCACCAAATCATGTAAAAATTTGTTCATTTACATTTTTATTTGTATGAATTACGTTATTTTTCAATCATTATTGAATAAATTATCTGACAGAAACCATAAATAACGATTTAAATGATCAGATCTTGTATGAGCCAATCAAGATGGACCATACATGTAGTTGACGAGATGTAAAATCGTGATTGCCTTGCTAAATTGCGAACCAATATTAGTTTTTTTTACCTTTTGTAACAAAATGGACCTTGAACCAAGTATCTGAATTTAGTTATTTATGAAAATCTAATAAAACTATTAAAATATTATATATATATATATATATATATATATATATATGTAGTTCACGTGAGACCAATATGTTTTCGTAAGAGTCGTGAAACCATTTTTTTACACTTGAAACTTTACAGCAAAACACTGTGAAGGTAAAAAAAAAATCGAACCTTCATAACATTTGGTTGTGAAGTTTCAAGTCTAAACAAGTGGTCTCAGGGGTTCATGAAAACATGTTGGTCTCACGTGATCCTAAGTCTATACACACACACATACATATATATATATATATATATATATGTGTGTGTGTGTGTGTGTGGAGATTCAAACGAGAAAACCTCTATTTTACGAAAACGCGAGAATACCCTTATCATATGTGATAATACACGTGAGGGGACCCTGTGATGTGCGGACGACGTGTTCTACGACTTAGGCTGTGCCAAAGGTTGTTTGCGTCTATGATTTAGCATCACATGTGATGGTCTTGATAAATTATAATATCATACCAACAACAACCTTATCACATGTGATAATACTTGTGAGTGGGCTTAGTAGTGCAAGGACGAATTGACCCGCAACCAATATCGTATCGAAAATCGTCCGCGTCTCTGATTTAGTATCACATGTGTATCATATGTGATGAAATAATAATATCACATGTGATTGTCTAAAGTAAAAGGATGTTCCCGCGTTCTTATAAAATAAAAGTGTTCTCGTTTAAATCTTTTCATATATATATATATATATATATATATATATATTTCCAATTTTGGTATCCCACCCCTCCCCTCCATGATGATGTTTTTATTCCCCCACCAGATGATGTCTTTATTTGTCTTTCCTCTTAAGGGTGGTTGTTTACATTTTGGAATACCATCTAGCTAGTGCTGGTGGTTCCAACCAAAACCAATTCCTTCTTAACAACCCTAATTGATTTTTTTTTTAATATTTTAATCATCATACATATTTATTATATCATAAAATTATTCTTAAATTTAATTTAAGTTTACATTATATTACTGTATAAATATAGCTTCATGTTTGAACTACATAAAATTAATATGGTAAAATAGAGATGGTCAATAATCAATCTCTAACGAGGTTGGGTTGGTCCAAAAAACCGTCCCTTCAAAATTGGGGTCGCCGGTCCCTTTCCCGATCCCGACCAAAAATCCTAAGGCCAATCTAGGTAAGGTTACGAGTCCCGATCCCATCGATGCGATCTCAAATACAGTTTTGAGCCCGACTTGTATTTTAATAAAAAAATATATTTTTTTTTAATTTTTTGATACAAAAATATTGTACATATTTTTATAATTAAGATTTTTGATATTTATTACTGAAATATATTTAAAAATCTTGTAAAACTTTTAAAAAATAGTTTTTCTTTTTTTAAATCAGGCCTAAATATAAGAGGTCCCAATTTAAAATTCCATTTAAAAGTGTAAGCGGTCCCAATTTAACCATCTCTACGATTAAACACTCCATAAACTTCAGATTTACTTCATGATGAAAATTTGTATTAATTTTTTTTTCTCATTTTAAAATAATATTTTACATCCCGATGCGTTATATATATATATATATATATATAGGTGGAGGTTCAAACGAGAACCCCTGTGATTTACGAAAATGCGAGAACAACCCAATAACCTCATACTTTTTTAATTAATAAATTAACTTTTATTATATATAAATAATTTAATAAGGACAATAATGTAATTAAGTAATTTTTATAAWTTTTATTTTATTTTAATTAACCATAATTATCTTTTCACGTTCCACATTTTACTCTTGGTAGTTATCTTCTTCTTCTTCTCATTAACATTTTTTCTTCATATCACACATCTATCACATAAGTATCACCACTCATATCATATGATTATCACACCCATATTATATGATTACACCAAAA